GAGCTTGTGCAAGATGGTTTCAGAGCTGGAAACCACCTTCTTGTACTCAGGCATCCAGACGTTTCTGTTTCTTCATTTAAACAACATCCAAGATAGCCTGTTGTGCTGGTTTTGATGGGGATAGAGTTAATTTTTTCCATATTAGCTTGTATGGGACTATGTTTTGGATTTGTGCTGGAAGCGGTGTTGATAATACAATGATGTTTCAGTTATTGCTGAGCAGTGCTTACACAGAGTCAAGGCCTTTTCTGCTCCTCATACTGCCCTGCCAGCAAGTAGGCTGGGAGTGCACAAGAAGTGTGGGACACAGCCAGGACAGCTGACCCCAACTGACTGTCACGGATGGAAATATTTAACACAGTTATGATTTAGTAGCAATTTAAAATTTATTAGTGATTCGAGGTAGATCAAGAGTTAAGTTTTAGCAGCACTTAATCATTAACCAATTTAAGGATTTACAATATGATTTAACAAAATAATTGAACAGTGACTTAATTACAGATTCGAAGATGGCAAGATTCACACTAACTTACTATAAGGTATCCTAAATCAATACATATACATACACATGTAAGCACGAACATACAAACACACAACACTTAAGGGGTTGCACACACACCTCCACCCGAGATTTTAACTATTAGGACTAAAGGTCCCTTCACAATGGGCGACTCCAATGATTCAACAGGTCCCCCTTTTACATGTGCACGGACAAATATTTGGATCCAGTAAAATATAAGAATATCCACACTTGTGAGAGCTAATGTGTATATAGAGAGGTGGATGAAAGAGAGGCTAGCTTATAGTTAAAATTTCCTCTTCGAGTTGTAGAGCAAATACTCACAATGCATCAGCATTCCTCAGCGGGTGATAACTGGGACTTGATGGGGAGTTGACTCGCCTTGGCCTTTCAGTCCTTGAGGTGTTTGCCTGAGCGGCTTCCCAACTTGGGGGAGATGCTGGCCACAGCCCGCTGTGATCCAGGAGAGCTCAAAGGGTCTCACTAGCATCACTACTTATAGGATCCGAGATAATTGACTTTTGTCAGGTATTTTTCCACTCCGGCCCAACTCAGAAAATGGAATATTTCGGTACTTTCCACCAGTTGTGCAAGTCCAGAACTTGCTAGATCTGTAAGTTCTGGTATCATTTCCCTTTGGGCGATGATCCAGGTACTAGACTGTCAGGGAGTGATAGTCCCAAGCGATAGGGGAAACAAGAGCCAGGCATGTTAAGGGAGTGCCTTAACGCTCTGGTCCTTTATCTTTTGCAATTCATGCCTGACATCTCCTAGGTTGGTATGCAGCCCAGGGATGGGGAATTGCACCAAATACCGAGTAGCCAAAGAAGAAGGGGGAGATTGCACCACCACACTGACCAAAGGGATATTCCATACCATGTGACATCATGCTCAGCAATAAAAGCTGGGAGAAGAAGAAGGAAGGGGGGATGTTTGGAGTGATGGCATTTGTTTTCCCAAGTAACCATTACACGTGACAGAGCCCTGGTTTCCTGCAGATGGCTGAACACCTGCCTGCCACTGGGAACCAGTGAATGAATTCCTTGTTTTGCTTTGCTTGCGTGTGCAGCTTTTGCTTTACCTATTAAACTGCCTTTATCTCAACCCACAAGTTTTCTCACTTTTCCTCTTCTGATTCTCTCCCCCATCCCACCAGGGGGGAGTGAGTGAGTTTAATAAGTAAAGCAAAAGTTCTGTGTAAGCACTGCTCAGCAATAAGTGAAACATCCCTGTATTATCAACACTGTTTCCAGCACAAATCAAAACATAGTCCCATACAAGCTAATATGGAAAAAATTAACTCTATCCCAGTCAAAACCAGCACACCTGTGCATTAAGAGAGGAAGTAAATCAAAACAAAACCAAAACAAAAAAAAAAACCCACAAAAAAGACACGAAGTAGAAAAAAAATGGGTTCAGCTCCTTCTGACTGAAGGAATTAAGTTCACATTTCCACTTCCCAGGAAGTTCCCCATGTACAAGCCTAGAAGAGAGGGAAGAAAAAAGTTAAGCCTCTCCTGTTGTAACTATGACTGAGTATAGAAAGAGATGTGAGATTTGTAATCTTGATTTAAACAGAGGGTTAAATATGATTTCATAGCTTAAGGATAGAGGCAGTTACGTACAGGGGGAAGGAGAAGGGGAGGCAACCTGGATTCTGACCCCTGCTTCAAGCACTATTTATGTATGTTACTCAATTACAAATACAAAATGTGTAGGCAGCCCCTGGGGCAACAACCCGAGACTTCCTCTTCAAAAGGAGTACCTATTAGGGTTGCAAATTATCCTTTCTCAATGAATCTTGCTTCCTCTCCAATACAGAAGTATGGCTTCAGCAGGCATGAAAGATAGTTCTCCAGATTGAGTTTCACCTTGATCTGGTGGTGGATGCACTCTTGGGAGATATGGGAATGATCTCCTCAGGAAGAGACTGTCAGTGAACCTCCATCTCCCACTTCGTGAACAAGTGCCTTATCTACAAGTATGATATTATGTAAAATGATGGCAGTCATGCTGCCACAACCTCTGGACATGTTTCTGTGAGAAAGTCTCTGGGACTGTTGTGCTTCATGCCAAGGTTGGTGTGTGTTAGGTGTGCTCAGAAGATGCCTACCTCATGAAGCCTCTCAGGACATGTCTCACCTATACATCACAGGCAGGTGCAAGGTAGGTTTCAAGATTTTCAGCGGTATAGAAATAGCAGTAGCGATGAGAAATGCAGTAGCAGAACTTTTAATAATTTTATCAGCAAAAACCTGATGTGTGGCTGTTTTGCATACATGTACATGTGTAAATATGGCTTCCTGGCATTTTTGTTGCTTTTTTGAATTTGGCTGTCAGTGACTTTCTCAAAGTTATTTTGTGAACCAGCATAAAATTAGAACCCAGAAATCCTCATCTGATACAGTCTTTCTGTAAGACATGTAAATATATTTACAATTAAAACCAGTCTTTTAATGCCATTGTTTTGTTGGAAATTAAGTAGCTGGGACCTATCTGAATTTGAGTAGGATCTCCTTTGATGCTCTCCACATCTATTAAACATTTTTGTCTCTATGTCGTTGTCATGTGTTTATTAGTTCCTCAAGAGATTTTCCAATAGGTTCTTTTTCCATCCCTCTGTTTTCCCAGCCCCCGTTTTCTGTTATTCTGGGTTCTGTTGCCCTCAGGAGACTAAAAACCTGCACCCTTTGCTCCTCTCATCATGCACTTCCTTCCAAAGAGACTACTTGTCTAAATGAAGCAACAGGAGGATGAAGGGCAGTATTTTTTTATTACTATTTTGAATACAATATTATAAATGCACACCTGTAGTTTTTACGTATTCATAGATATTTGCTTTGGATAATGCTAAACAATGCATAACAAATTAGCCTACTCTATAGCAGGAACAACCTTTAAATACGATCTGTATTTAAACAAAATGGGTAAGGCATCTTCTGCTCTCAAACCTCAGTTCAGCAAAGTACTTAAACACTATTGAATAAGGTGCTTAAGTACAGTTTTAAGTTTTATGCAGTATGATAGAGAAATTTTGATAAGTGGGGCCTTATTTGGGAGAACAGCATAACCCAGGTAGCACTTTGGTCCTTGCTGTGCTTATGGCTGTTACCTTTCCTCAATTCACTGTATCAGTATCCATTCTTAAAACTGTGTCCAGTCTGAATATTGGTTCATCAAAAAGAATTTCTGAATTAACCTTTCTTTTGGGGGCAAATACTTTCCAAGTGATAATGTGTTCTTTGATGGTTTGGGGTTTTTTGGGGGTCTTTTGTGCTGTTACACATCATGCATTTCGGCAACTAGGCCATGTTTTGCATTTTCTATTGGTCATCTAAAATGGCGATACAACTTCAACCCCAGTAACATGGATCTGAAGCTTAGAAAAAATTCAAATGCATGTTCAAAACCTCCTAGAAATATGAAAATTGAGTATGTCCAAGAAATTACAGACTTTTTATTTAGAGGATGGAGAGGGAAACAAAAATGCCAAATCTCTTCTCCTCCATCAGTGTACTTGGATTTAGAATTAATTAATACCAATGAACTGGAAATTTTGCTCCTGTCTAAAAAAAGGGTTTCTTGAATCAATGTCAGCTGAAAGCTTTGGCCTTAACCAGTGTGTTTTGCTGCTACATCATGCACAAGCCTCCTTTTTCCTAACCACCAGTATGTCTTCTCTGCACCAGAGTGCCAGAACCCTTTAGAACCAAAAACTGAGGACTGCCTCTAGGGAAAATTCCATTTTTTATTTTTTCACTCATCATTTATTTACAAATACACATTATAACTTTTATATACATTGCACATTTACATGGTAGAAAAGTACAAAACTATATATTTAAATGAATTTATATTTAACTCACCATGTTTGAAAATATAAAATTACATCAGAAAAAAAAGTATTATGAAAAGCAAGAAACTTGAACTGATAAAGCTTTGATATATCTTTTAGTGACACACTGGGAAAACAAAACTTTGAAAATGGTACTGCAAGACCATGATGTGATCAGAAGTAGAGAAAAGTGAAGTGGAAGACGTTTCCTTAAAGATCGCCTCATTGCACCCTGGAAGTATATTTAAGTCAGTTACAATGCCTTTTGGTCAGTCAAGATTCCTTGTAAACAAAAACCCTAGGGATCTTTTATGTACAGAACCGCAAGCAGAAAATCCAATAAATAAACATAACAGAACCCGACATGCAAGTTTGTTAAAGTGGAAAAGAGTTAACATCAGTGAAACCAAGAGATGAGATCATGTGGGTAAGCTCTAAGGAATGGACTTTTATAGTTTACAAGAAAAAAGAAAAGCTTAGCTTTATAAGCAAGAGACCTCACAATAAATAACATTGCTCTTCCCCTAACGAATAAACTTCTTCAAAAAACAAGGTGTACAGTCAACCAGACATTTTATGTATAAATTATAAAACATGACACAGTATAAATAAATATCTACCAGACTCAACTTTATGTATACTTTTTTCTCCCCAAAATAAATAAACATACACTTATTTACAGTATGGACATTGATTTTGTGCCCAATGGCTGTTCCAATAGTGATGAAGGTTTTACCATTCTAGAATGGAAGATATAGGAAAGCTGTAGTCCTGGTCTTCATCTTCCTCTTCTTCCTCTGGGTCTTCATTAATGGCTAGATGGGGGAATACAGGGGAGCTGTTGTTTAAATAAGGACAACAACAGCACGGAAGCAGCTCAGTGCATGTTTTCAAAGCCCTCTGAACAGCCATAATACAGCATTGCATTTTATGCTACTTGTAGTGAGATGCTCTTAGGCATCTGCTGTTATACAATAAGGTTTTTTATACATAATCTATGAAGTCATAACTGCAGAAAGTTCTGAAGAATCAATGGCTGAGGTTTTATTGGCAGATTCCTGAAATCAAATAAAAAGTGCTCGTGTTCTAGGTTTAACTGCTTTGTGTCCTTCATTCAGGGTTAGTAGAGGCATCTGTGCTCAACTAGATGCCCACGTGCTACCATTAAGCTTGTTCTTTTGGACACAGTTAAGAGTTTATCTGGGTGTTAATAAAGCAATCAGCAAAGCACATGAGAGCAGACAAATTAGGAAAAAATCACTAGAATTACGCTCCTAGGGCAACCCTTTTCTGACAAAATTACTTGTCTTCAGAGTAGCCCCAAACCCCCAACTTGAAAGTCAACTGGTTGTTGGAGATCTATTGCATTTTATCAGTAACCAAAGTGTATGCGTGATAGATACATACTTATATGGCCCCTGTACTGTATCTCGAATCTCTAAATCAAGCTTTCTTATGTTTAAAGGTGTAAGTTTTCATTACCTATGGATTGCCTTCAGAGTTAAAAATCTCACTTACAGTTGCAAGATCCAGAGTGCTTTACTTCTAGAAGCACACCCATGAAGCAGGCTGCCTCTTTCATGGCACACTCACTTGGGTAAGTTGTGTTATCGCTGGCACAGACTGCCTCATCTGACTTGCTTTCAGGGCATGGCTCATCACAGAGGGCGCACTGACCTCTGCCAACCTTAAAATCCCACAAGCATTTCTTCCCAGCACTGCACTGAATGTCTTCACAGGATTTGGCTTCTAAAAAATATACAGGTAAGTGAAAAGACAAAGGAAAAAGAAAAGCAACAAACAAACCCAAACTCCCTTTCCCCCAATGAACTGCGAACAGACAAAGCTCAGATGCAGTAGATGTGATGATACTTGCTGATTTTGCTCAAGCAAGTAGTCCCTTGGACACCATTGCCTGTCTATATGTGGGGGAGAAAAGACAGCTGTGCCAGCAGAGCTTGGCCCTGGGAATACAGAATTACATTTGCCAATTGTACATGACCTTCCTGCTCTGTTTGATGTCACTGGAAATTCAGCTCCCCAAATTAGCAGTAAGTGCAGAATTTGCTAACACATTCAGCATTTCTAAATAAATTATTTTTAAACTAACCCAGATGATAGACTAGTTGTCTGCAAGATTACAAAGGGAATTCACCTCAACCTATGCCAACTAAAAGCAGCCTGGAACTCCCCCTAATCCCCCAGCAGTTTTGGGGAGCAGAGGCTGCCCTGAAGGTGCTTCCTTGTAACATGCTTCACTATCACTCATTTCTGGAAATCACAATACAAAATGTCAGGATGCACAGAATTTTCTTATCTTCACCCAGCAACTGTCTCCAAATTCTGCAATATTTTTAAAGAGGAAAAAGGGATCAGATGTTTCCAATTAAGTTAACGCAAGCTTTGCCAAGACCACTTGAAGACAATTGTTTCCAGGAATCCAGATCCACTGACTTTGTTACACTGTAACCATGTCATCATCTATTTAATGGCAGGTACTCCCCCTCGGGTACTAATGATAGCAAGAGAAACAGGATCAGGCCCTCTACTCCCTCACCCCTTTTGCAATCTTTTCTGGGGCAAAGCTCACCCTGGCTCTCCTTTTCCTGGAGGGGAGCACAAACCCAGGCTGCTGGAAGTCTCTCCTCCTCCCCAACGCTCACTACATCCATCCAATTCCACACACGATATTCTGAAACAGCTGAGCCAGGAAGCTCCCTCCACCCTTACCCCTCCAACCGAGATACCTACTGATGCATTTTCCTTCGTAGGCTAATCCAATGGATCTGCCCAGTAGGCAGGTAGCTTTTCTCAGGTGACAGGGACTGGCATAAGTTATGCCGTCATTCCCGCAGAGATACTGTTCATGGGAGGTAGGCTCTGGGCAAATTCGATTACATGTCACACAGTAGGCATTATTAGTTTGATCAACCACACATGTGGAGCTGCCTGGGCATAAAACATCCCTACAGGTCTCTGAAATAAAGACAGAAACACACAATGATTAATAGCAGATCGCAGAGCCCCAGCAAGGAGTGAATAGGTGACACAATGAAACAAATGATCAGATAAGAGCCTTCAGCAGTTCTCCTCATTTAAGGGCCCCTGGAGGAAACCTTCCTTCAGGGTAGCTGGTGGGACACAAGTGCTGCTAGACTATGGGGAACTCTCAATTCAGCTACATCCTTGCTTGTTGAGCGTGGTTTAGTTACTGTCTCCCAGTATTTGGAACATCAATCTGGTTCCTGTGGGGAAGTACGTCCAACAGCTCCTCCTCCCTACACTCAGACACACACTTTGAGGGAGATCGGATTAGATTTGCAAACCTACTTTTGCATTTGCCCTGATACTGGACTTCAAGTTCGGGCTGTTCTTTACATCTGGCTTTGAGAAGGGCACACTCGTTCCTGTAGGTTTTCCCATCTAAGCCACACACGGGGCCCTTCCAAGTGATATTAGAACAATCCGGAGCACAAACACACCGAGGTTTGTTCTTCTTGTTCATTTTACATTTCTTCCCTGGTCCACAGTCCACATTCTCGCACGTTTCTGATGGAAGGAAAGAGGCACTGCTTTAGTACGGAGCATGCAGAACAGACCTGGTGTCAAAACTGCTTAAAGAAAAAAAAAAAAAGACACCGCACTGTGACCCCTGGGCATAAAAAGAAAACACCTTTTCCAGGAAACATCACTTGAAGGAAATTCCCCCTGCCAGTGAGGACTCCCGATGTACACGGTGGCCAAGAAGAAATGGGGGTCCCCTCACTGATCCCGGGACTGGTACAAGAACGCGCTTCAAAGCCTCACCGAGGAAGGAAGCAGCAGGACCACGCTGCCCCCCTCCAGCTCCTTCCCCGCTCCTTCTCCCCC